TATATATATATATATATATATATATATATATATATACACGTTTAATTTTATAAATACGTTTTGTTATATATATATATATATATATATATATATGTATATACACGTTGACTTTTGTTGATCGGGCCAGGCGATCCTATAACCGGTTCCGGTCTTAACCGGTCTCAGTCCTAGAAAACGTTAAAATCCATAACCGGTTCATAATCGACGGTCCACAACCGGTCCATACCGGTCTCGGGTCGGTTCCGGTCCCTCTCTGGTCCCTGTTCCGGTCCTCCGGCGGTTACGGGCCGGGCCGGGCCCATTTGGCCATCTGTAACTGGTCTCACATGATACCCGTCTTCAGAGGCACCATAATGTATGGGAACATTTTTGACTCACTCAGCGGCGAATGTTAGCCTGGAGAGGGCGGGGCAAGGATCGAACCCATGACCAGTCTTGGATTCAGACAAAATTACCCCACCTCTTTGCTAATTAAGCGACATGACAAAATCGGTCTTTTTGGATTTTAACAAGTATAATAAGTACCTTACAGTAAAACCATAAAGTTTAATGACTTTAAAATTTGATTTTTTTTATTCTTGGTCAAAGTTTGAAACCATGATATATAATTATTAGGATGTTGATATTATCGATTAAAAATTATTTTGATGGTCAAACATAGATATGGCCAAAATTCGGTCTTAGGTCGTGTTGGGTCGGTTCGAAACCAGACCTTCCAAAATCGGGTCAGGTAGTTTCGGTCTCGTCCCAACCAAAAGTCATAGAACTGATCTTAGGTCTAATAATCGGTCCTGGTCCCATGAGGCTGCTCCCAAATCCGGTTTTAAAAAAATATTTTTACCCAAAACTATTATTAATGTTTTCTTAATTATAATTTTTGAAATTTAGCGTTAGAATACATATCAAATAATGCGTTTATTCATAAAAATCTTGAAGAACTTGAAAATTTGAATTTTTTTTATTAAAAAAATTGTATTGTAATCAATAAAAACTTAAAAGAACTGAAAAATCGGTCTTGTACATAACCGGTCCTGCACTGGCCCGGGTCAAGCCTAGAAATTCCATAAAACTTATAATCATACTGGGACTGTCGGACCATAGCCGTTCCTTCTGATCGTAATCGGTCTCGACCCCAATCTAGCTGTCTTTAAGTGAAACAAGCACATTTAATTGGGCTGACCCAATAAAAACACATCTGAATGGGCCAAATTTTTGTTGATAAATTTGAATTGGGGAGACTGAGAGAACCCATAAACTGATCCATAAAGCCCAGCCTGCTGAAGAGTGAAGTGAAGACTACATTCATAATATCCAATTTAAATATTTGATTTCTGTATATTTTTCTTTTATTTGTTCTATTTATTGGCTTTAGAAAAAGCAAAAAATGCATGGGATTTTTTTATAAAATTAAAATAAATATATAATATTTTCATTATACTAATTTTGTTATAACTTTAGTTTGTTTCAAAATAATATATAATATTCCCATTTTACTTTTAATTATAAGGAGAAAGTTTTTCTCTCGGTTATCAAAGTAAAAATGTTAATTAACCACAAGGGTGGTGTCTCACTGATTTAGGCTTCAAAGGTTAAAAGTGATTGGAGGTCCCAGGTTCGAATTCAAGGAAGAATAATTTTTTTTGTGGCCACGGAGGTTCAAATGTGGTGACTCTGCAGGTGGCTGCCCTGGGATTAGTCGACTTGTATAGCGGGTTGGATATCTAGGTTAATCAAAAAAATGTCAATTAGTTATTTAAAAAGTATAATAATTATATATTTCTAAAAATGTTTATCATTTTTATTATGGATATTTATTTTAAGACGAAGAGAGTAACAAAATAGTTAATAATATCATAACTTATGAACCCTTTTATTGTTATAATAATTATATATTTCTAATATTTAACTTTATACATAATTATGTGTGTGTATATACACACACACACACAAACGGGTAAGGGGTAAATGGATAACGAAAAACACTTTATTCATATCCTACCAACAGAAATGGGGGAAACGGGTAATGGATAGTTATAAATGGATAAAATTTTCTTTACTCATACATTTATCTAACGGGTCAAAACATAGCAGGTAACGAGTTTATCTTTACTTGCCAGCCTACATGTATTACAAATAAAAACCTTGAAAAGTATAAAACAGGCCATCTGAGGAAATAACAAGCCGGAAGTTAACCTCGAGGTCAGTTCACCTGACAAATTAAAGACATACTTGGGTCATCGAAGATTTTCTGACTTATATCTTGAGTGTCTCATGGGATTAGTCAGGATTCAAGACCACTTAAAGAATTTCTTGAGTTTTATTCACACCAAAATACCTACAACTAAACAAAACCTTCCCAAATCAACACATACAACCCTTGAAATAATAATGAAAAAGATTACATATAGAAGTCGATACGGAGTACATTGTTTGAAAACACGCACCAATCTGGTCTCCTTCTTTTGCTGGAGTCGCGACCCTTGTGGTTGCATGGGGAAGCGACGTGCACAAGAAGACCGGTCATGACTGTCACATGGACATCTAGGTTTTGAGCCATGCATATGAGATTAAGATTAAAACATTGGTAAAGGTGGTTAAATGACCATCATACCCTTTTAATCGAAAAACTGTTATCTAATAAAAATCACCGAGTTAAAATGACCTGAATGGTTAAACTTATTTTCTTAATTCTTTAAGACATTTGAATATTCATATAGAAAATATATCAAGAAAACAAGAGTTGGAATATTGCAAGTGGTATACTTGCACTTCTAGTTTTTTTTGGCTTCTTTTAGCATTATGAATTGCAGAATTGGCAATACATGGTTTTGCAAATTGGACCTTCATTTATTTGATGTTTATGTGTCATGTTTTATTTATTTATTTATTTATAATAAAAAATAGCTATATATAATTATCTTTTGTCATATTCACACTCGACAAATCATATGAAACGAATATGTGTTAATTAATAAATTAAATAATACTTATATGAAAAAAAATCATGTGAAACAATACCTTAAAAAGTAAAAGTTTTCACAGTCATCAGAATGTATGAGGTTCTTATTTGATAACTCCCTTAGATGATACTAAATTAAAGACACAAACGACCTTTGGCACGACCTAGGTTGTGGTCCAGGTCGACCGCACACTACGAGGTCTCCACGCGTGTATTATCACATGTGATAAAGATGTTCTCGTGTTTTCGTAGAGTGATGATGTTTTCCTTTGAACCTCCATATATATAGGAACATGATTTGTTAAAAAAACCTAAAATTGATTATGAATCCGGAAACCACAACACAACACGTGACATATTTATTTGAATTTTGGAATATAGACGTGTCATTTATCATGAATTTGTGACTCATGATGAATAACACGTCCATATTCATCATGAATGTGTTATTCATGATAAATATTCATCCTAAAAAAAGAATATATGACACTCTATGGACAGTTTCGGGTTCCTAAACAATTTTGGATTACTAAAAAAAAGCTTTCCAATATATATATATATATATATATATATATATATATATATATAGGGGCCTAATCAAATGAGAACTAATTAGTTTGTGGTAAACATGAGATTCAATTTCAATCACAAATCAATAGATAAATTAGAAAATTTATAATTTTGGTAATTTTGAAATAAAATTTTAATGCAAAGACATTTTTTGTATTTTAAAACTCTCTTCTCTCCTCTCTTCTCTCTCTGGCCACCGTCCTCCGGTGATACCACAATGGTATCACAATGCATCATACATGTGTTTGTGTATCACATTGAGGTCGTTTGTGTGGTCGATCGGAGATGTAACATAGTGGTATCATAATGCATCTTATATATGTTTGGGTATCACATTGTATCTTTTGTTTAACAAAGTCAATATTTTTAGGTATCACAGTGGTATCACCGAAGGACAGTGGCCGAAGGACGGTGGACAGAGGCCGGAGGACGGAGAGAGAAGAGAGGAGAGAGGAGAGAATATACCTAAAATGTTCTTGCATTAAATTTTTAATTCAAAATTACCAAAATTATAAATTTTCTAATTTATCTATTGATTTGTGGTTGAGATTGGATCTCACAGTTACCACAAACTACTCAATTCTTTCTTGAATGGACCCCTATATATATATATGTATGTATGTATGTATAGGTTGTATTCTAATGCAAAATGGATGATTCCAAGAGGATGCCTCATGTGAGTCATTGGGACCACTTTCCATGTGCAAATTTGCAGTCTCCAATTCTCTTCCCATTACAAACAAATTCAAGCTTTCCCATCCCTAAGGGGCCGTTTACCAAACTCTTATTTGGGTAAGAGCTTACCGACTCACATTACCTTATCGGATGAATGCGATAAAGACCAAGAATCTATACATGGTAAGAGCAAGGCAAGGAAAAGAGTGTTACCCGGTAAGTGAGGACGATTGACTCTTAACGTGGTAAGCGCTTACCAGGTAAATTGTTGCATACAATGTCGTTTTCGTGAACTAAAATCTTACTAGGTAAGTAAATGATAATGTTGAATATTACCGGTAAGCGCTTACCGGTTAAGTGTTTGGTAAACGGCCCCTAAATTCACTATCCACACATTTTCATTCATACGTTTTACTAACAAATCATACAATAACCCTTCATAAATCTCTTATAAGTAACACTTTTACCCTCATTTACAACAACTTTAAATCAATAAAAATATGGTTTACTTTTTACTTTTCCAAATAATTGTTTCTAGACCGTAAAAATCACTACAAATTGACACAAATGACACTATAAACAAAACATAAAGCAAAAAACACCATGACCACTTTCCAAGAAGTGAAAGATAACACAAACCCCCAAAAATTCATAGCCCATGGTATACATTCACTCAAATTCAAACAGAATTCACACACATAGTGTTAAAGAATGGCCACATAACTTACTGTTTGCCTCTTTTTTTTCTCTCTGGATGTGTCCACATTTTCAACTAGAATTCAATTGCCTCAAACTATATAGTTCAAATTTTCATCCAAAAATGGAAAATTTATCTATGGCAAACACATCTATAATGATATGCGCTATTTATCGGGTCGTTTCCTTCCACTGGAACTTGCTCGGCTCTGCACCTTGACTTGCAACCCCTGCATTCGTTGTACGTACAAGTCGGCTTCACCGACCCTATCATTGATCTTCTTTCGGTCATTGGATTGCTTGTATGCTAAGTTATTACAAAACCATTCATTAAATTAGTCATAAAGATGTTGTAAAGTTGTACCTTTTTCTAGATTCTGCCAGTTCTAAAAGGCATATTTAATGCATTATTCTACACATGCAATAATGTGTATAGAAAGAAAGAATATTTTTCATCAAGGTGAAAAAATGTACCCTTTTCACCTGCAAGTTTAAATCTTTGTCTGATGCAAACTTTTGATAAGGAAGCATAGTTAGTTTTCTGGATCCTGCAACTCCTGAAATTGTACATTCACATATGAATAGATGCTTTAAGCACTTGTACATCTATAGTAGCCAAAAAAATTGCACCAAATTCTGCATACAAGAATCATATCTACTAATATCTTGAAGCATATCAAGAATAAATCTTGATTATGCTCAAACTCCCTCCATTAAATGTTCGTTTATTTTCGGACAGAAGGAGTAAAAATCGAATCTTTATGAATCTTGAACCATATTTGTGTTTGATAATTGAGGATAAGACATATAAGTAAATGAAAAGATAGAAAAAAAAAGAAGCATATCAAGTTTAAATCTTGATTATGCTCAAACCTGCCCTATTTTCCCAAGTTAAAAGGGTTCGTTTATTTTGTGACGAAATGAGTAAAAATCGAATCTTTATGAATCTTGAAACCATATTTATGCTTGATAATTGAGGATAAAGCAGAAATGTAGAAGAGAAGATAGAAAAAAAAACAAGCATAAGTTGAAATTTGACCTTGGAAGATAAGTGTTGCCCAAATTAAGAAGAAGAGTAAGTTGGGTTTTGGTGGGGAAGCCATTGTTGCTTTGGTTTGAAGAAGACATGAATTGGTAGTCATATATATTGGGAGATATGAATGATAAGAATGGAATGTAAAAGAAATTTGTGGTCAAATAGGGACCATAAGAGATAGAATGAGCATCTAAGAGAAAGGGAAAACAAAAGCAAACAAATATATAAAATAAAAATAACTGAAACAAAAAAGTTCAGTGACGGTTTTAGCTTTACGACATTAAATTGGAATAAACCGTTAAGCGCCTGTCTCGTGACATTGTATAAACATTCAGTTTTATGATATTCAGACTGTATTATACACGGCTTAAGTTGGTGTTTTATTTCAAAACATAAAGAAACTTGTGCAATTGGGATCTAATTTTGATACAAGTTGATGTGTTTGTGTGATGAGGTCCCCAACAGACAAAGCTCAGTTTTGGACCAAACTCCCTAGTATACTGATTTGTAGCAAGCAAAGTTACCAAAATACCCATGGTGATAGCTTTCATATCATACAAAGGAAGGGGCAAAATGGGAAGTTTTTGGATGGTAGCTAGAGGGTAGAGGGGTAGAGATTCCCAACCACCAACAAGACAGTTTTAGGTGTTTTTTGAAAAGCATTCCAAAATCCTTATATAATAAATGACAACTCCTAGAAGAATGTGGAAGGAGGATATATGCCAATTCTATCTAGGCATAGGCATGGTGGCCTGTGCTTAGACACATTATTGAGAGAACCAATTTTCTTTATTTCAAATAGGTATCTTAGGCGTAAGTTTAATGTGTTTTTAGCTGAATTTTACTATATCAAAGGATTTTTAACATTATTTGGTAAAAATAAGTTAGCTTAATTTCTGGGTACGTTTGGATGTCATAAGCTAGATTATTGAAACACTACTTGAAGTAGCTTTTTGATAGCTTATTGTCACTTTTTTTTCAATTATAACTCTTATTAGTATTAATTATTATTTATTATTTTAATTATAAGTAAATATCAATAAAATTTAAATAGTACTGATATTAATAAATATTAGTTATTAACAAATAATTATTAC